CTTACTTTTATTTTGAAGAATTGGTCTGTATGTAAAATATATGCTGATTATTTTTGATCCCCATGTTCCTACTCCCTCTCCCTTGACTGAAACTCTTCATTTGCTCCATAATGTCTGCCTCTTTCTTTTTGACTATTTCTCATTTATTTTACTCCTCTAGTCATATTTTGGGTGTTTTATGTATAATATAATATAATATAATATAATAATATGTGATATTAAAATGTTTGTGTCTTGCTTACTTAACACAATAGCATAGATTCAAGATCTATTTTTTGGCAAGTAACATAATTTCATCCTTCTTTATGGATGAATTCTATTCTATTATATATACATATGGGGTTTTTTAGTGCTGGAGATTGAACACAGAGATTCAGCACTGAACTGCAGCCTCAGCCTTATTTACTTTTTACTTTGAAACTGATATTCATCATTAGGTTGTGCAGGCTGAGCATGAATGTATGAATTTCCTGCCTCAGTTTCCCAGAGTGCTAGAATTCCAAGCATGCACCATCCTGGCTAGACTATCCCATATTTTCTTAAGTTGTTCGTTGGCGAATGGGTATCTATCCTGTTTCCAGAACCTAGCTGTTATAAGTTTTGCTGCCTTAAACATGGGTATTCAAGTATTACTGTAATATAATTACTTTAAAGTTGGAGGGAGTTTAGCCAGAAGTATAGCTGGTAAAATGAAATTTCTATTTTTTGAGGAAACTGTATACATATTTTCATAGACGCTATTCCACAATGGCATTCATACCAACAGTATAGGAAGGTGCATTCTAACATTTTGGAACATGAATGAACTGAAAGCTTTGGTGGGTTATTTGAATACAGCTATTATAAAAATAGCATTCATTTCGATTTTAAGTATTTCCACAATGCTAGCAATTTTGCAAATACTGAATGTGTAGTAAATCCCCTACTTACAAACATTTGAGCTTTGAATTTTCAGAGCTACAAAGGACCTTGCATTATGAACATTCATAGATGCAAACAAATCATAGAAGTAGCTCATATCTGTTGGGCATTGTCACAGGTGTACTGCTTTGTGCTTACTCTACGTGTGATAGTATACAATAGTACAGTACCATCAGGGACTAACTGTATTCTCGTTTGGTTTTCTTCATGCTTTACATTGTATATTTGTATCAGTAGGGTATAAGATTCATTTGTTGGACTTAGAAATGCGTCAAACTTACCAACATTCCCCTGGAGTGTAACTCGTTTCCAAGTTGAAGACTTATCATATCACATTTAAATATATATAATATTCCTTACCTAAATTGTTGGATATGAAAGCAGTCTTTAGACAATATGCACATGTTTATACAATTTGGCTCTCAGGCAAAAGATTTTTTGTTATACACACATATACTCAATGTCTAAATAAAATTTCATACAATGTTTTTACAATCTTGAGCTTAGAAAATAATACTTATTCTGATATATTAGATAATAACATTTGTGGCAAATATCAGCACTTTCTAAATTTCAAATGTTGGAATATTGCACATATGAAATTTTCAGGTTGTACATACTCAACCTGTGTGCATCTTTGGAGAAATTTTCTGAGATTTAAAAAATTTGCACATGGCCTAGTTTGTATAGTTTATTTGGTTTTAATACTTCTGTTCACATACTGACTCTCGAGAAACATTTTTTTCTGGTGATTTCAAATTACCTTAGATGTTTTCTGCACTTTTTCTATTCATCTTCAATTTTAACATTATCCTAGTTTCTTTCTAGGTTTAGAAACAGAAATATAATGAATTACTACATTGCATAAAAATTAAAAGGTTACAGTTAGATTCAAGGTACAATGTGACCACCCATGGGAGAGTCAGTAAAATGTTTCTATATTTCAATTAAGGAAACTGCATTGAGAAGCAACAATGAATGCTCTCCAATTGCATAAATGAAAAACAAGGAAATCATCCTTACCTTGAGAAATTTAAAAGTTTGAAGAAGTAACTCAGCAGGAGGCCAGAGACCTCATTTTGTAAACATCCTCAGCCTGTGCAAAAGAAGGGCATGGAGGTGGTGTGTGGTGCTACACCTGCCCTGGGGTGGGGGTGGGTAGCCTGCTTACAATATAAGGGAGGAAAAAAGGCTCCGTCTTCCCCTTTTTGCTCTTGTTACTTTTGCTGTCTTCCGATGCCATAAACTGTAGCCCTTCTGCTTTGCCACCCTGCCTTGGAGCCAGCTGATTACAAACTGAAACCTCCACAAGGTTAGGTGAGCTAAATAAACCTTTCCTTCCTTAATTTTGGGCATCAGGTATTTTGTCTCAGCAATGAGAGAAAGGTAACCAAGACAGAATTTGGTACTAGAGGAGTGGGATTGTTGCTGTGACTATACCTGACCATGTAGTTTAGCAGCCTTTTGGGAATGGCATAGGGGAAGAGCTTGGAAAGGTTTGGAGATGTTGTCTGAAAGAGTATAGCTGAAATGCCTTAGGCTGTTCTGTAGGGGAGATTCTGATTAGAGGTAAAAGAGCAGAAAACTGGTAAAGACCATGCTTGGGAAGTTTCAGCTGGGAAGGACTGCAATGGCTGTTGGATTCCAGACAATGTACATTATGGTTTGACTGAAAGGTTGTATTTTTGATCATGTCCAGAGACTGCCTGAGACTAAGGTGAAGGGTGATGGAATAATTGATCTGGAAGAAGAAATTTCAAATTTTGAGGTGATGGTATGGCTATCGTTGGGGGCTGTTAGCCAGATTTATGTTGCAAATCAAGAGCAAAGAGCCCAGCAGGATGATTTGAAATGTGTTTCGCCAGAAAGGAAATTCCAGTAAAGCACAGGACTACAAAGATAGAGCTGAGGAGATCTTGATTGCTGAAAAAGAATGGGACAACACAAAAGATGGCCTGAGGGCATCACAACAAGTAGCAAGTCTCTACCCTTTGCGGCCTCAAAACTGCAAGTGAAAGACTGCTTTGAGCAGAAAGGCTCAGAGAACCATGTTCCAGATGGCAGTAGCATAGAGCATTTGTTCCTCAGAATTGTATTCAGAGTGTCCAGAGGTCCAGGCACTTGACTCCTACAACCAAGAGAAAGGAAAATCTGGCTACTACTCCACTGGCAGCAGATCTTGGCATCATCCATGTGGTGCTGGTTTTAGGCACATGCAGAATGCAAGAGTTATGTAGCCTCTGCCTCAATCTGAGAAGGCCTGGGAGGTCAGAGTGTGTTTCTGAGAGGCAGTGTATGAAGCTGTGAGTGTGAAGCCAAAGTTGCAGTGGAGACCCCAGAAGTTTGGAAAAGCCAGAAACATGGATTGTCTAAGGAAAGCTGCAAGAACGCAGCAAAACCACCCCCAGAGAGAAGCTGTGGGACCTGTAAAGACAAGACATGTCATAGGGTGGAGTCACTCAAGCCCTTTAGAGTTCACAATTTGCCACAGATTGATTCCAGATGCTGGACATGAAACTATAGGGCTTAATGTTTGTCCTGCTGGCTTTTGAACTTGCTTTGGTCCCAATCAGTCATATCCCCATTTGTAACTTTTGGAATGAAAATGTTTATTTTGTGCCATAGAATATTGTGTTTAAATTTTCATTTATACAGGGGCTTGCAGCAAAGAGTTTGCACAGTATCTCAGAGGAGACTTGGGATTTGGACTTTTCAGCAATGCTGAAAGTGTTAGGACTTTGGCAATTCTTAGAGATGGACTAAATGCCTTTTGCACAGGGGATCTAAATGAGTCTTTGGAGGGGAGACAGGGGCAGAATGTTATGGTTCTAGTATAATATAATATGGATAGACTTAATACTGGTTCCTAAGCATTGTTAAACCTGTATTATAATGTTCAAGTTGTGAAATGATGATAAGCATGTCTTTGTATCAGGAAACTGACTTAAAGAAATGTCTGGTTGCCAGTTGACAAGGTATGGATTATCATGGTTGATACATTGTGTCAATTTGAGAAGTTTAACTAAGCAACTCAGCAGGGGGTCAGGGTCCTCACTTTGTGAACATCCTCATCCTGCGCAAGAAGAGGGCATGCAGATGGTGTGAGTGCTACATCGAGCCTGAGAAGAGGGTAGCCTGCTTATAATGAGTAAAAGAGGCTTGTTCTTTCCTTTTTGCTCTTGTTTTTGCTATCTTTTGCCACCATGAACTGTTGCCCTTCTGTCATGCCACCCTGCCTTGGAGCCAACTGATTACATACTGAAACTTCCACAAACTGTGAGCTAAATACACCTTTCCTTCCTTTAATTGTCCTTCCTTAATTTCTCTCACCAGAGAGAAAAATAACCAAGACACCTATGAAAGCTACATTCCTAAATGTTTCCCACGTCATACTTTAAATTTGTTTTGAGATGGATCAAAGGAAGCCCATTCCCCCATGATGAAGTTCACAGTCATGTCCCCCCAGTTCACTGCCTTCTAAATCAGCAGACATATATATTCAAGAAGATTCAGACTTAGATGAAACATCTCAAATCTACTCATGACAAGCTGAAATGAGGCTAAGTTCTCCACATAGTTCCTTCATGTCTTAGTTACCAAACACACATCTCACACAGGAATTTGATGCTAGATTTGAATTCATTGGTAAAGCAACAGCAGAATGGGACTTTTTATTTTTGGTACTGGGAATCAAAGTCACTATTTCACACTTGCCAGGCAGGTACTGTGCCGCTGAACTACATCCTTGGCTATAAGTTATTTATTTATTATTTATTTATTTATATTTTTTTTGGGGGGGGTGACCATTGGTTAACATCAGTTTTTGACAAGCACTGTCTCTGTATCATGGTTTGTAAAGGGAGCCTACAGGATCAGCATCCAAGTAAAAAACTGAAGTAGAAAAAAACCTAATGAATTGTTCTGACAGGGCATAGAAAATATCTCTTTTCTCAACTTATTATTTAGGGGGTTGATTGCTTCCTTCTCAGATTGTATTTAGGCAGCACTTTGAAATATGAACCTGGTTTCATAGAAAAACCTTCCTTGAACACAAAGGAAAATTAATGAATGACAATCTAAACTGTTAATAAAAATATTAGTTTTTATTAGAGAATGTCTAAGGACAATTAAATTAGACCAAGAAAGATATATTTTGTTACAGCTCAAGGACAAAAGATTGTCACCTGTCACACAGATATGCAAAATTTCTAACATGGCATAATGGAGAGAAATAGGGCATTGGATACAATTAAAATATAAATGTAATGAACGCTAATATTTTTAAGTTAACAAGAGTTAATAAAAGGGAAAAATTGTAGAAAAAATTTTGTCACATCCGAATTCATCTTTCATTTGGCAAAAACTGTTAACTGTTCAATGTAACAAATGTTTTACAATGTTCAATAACCAGCAAACAAGGTGACATATTACTTAAATAGAGGAAAAGGGCTCACAATCTATTAGTAGAAAGGTTTCGTGGGCTCACATATAAATAAAACATTAATTCATGGTGGAGCTCTTCCCGTACAGAATGGAAAAAAATCACCATCTGTTTAATACAAGAGGCAGGGACAAACAAGCACATATGTTGAAACATGCACTTTATTCATCACAATCAAGTATCACTCAGATGTGAAAAAAAAATTGTTTCCCCAAAGAAAATCATGAAGCCATCAGAATTAGAGGGAGCAATTTAAATCTATGTAAATAAAGGGAGGTAAAAGAGAAAATTTAAAATGTCTTTCACTGTATACAATAAAAAAGGTTCGTGTACTGGGTAAAAAAAACAATGAACACATAAGAAAAATGAATAAAGCATATATGATTCAAGAGAAAACGCCAAATATAAACAAGATCCATGATCTTGGTTGAGGGATTAGCAAACAAACAAAAAAATAGAATGGTAGACAGACTCTAGCAGGAAGCAGACTTAGAATAAATGATGAAATGACACTCCACAGACATATTAGAGTACACCAATCTACAGACCAGTGGCTTTAATCCAATGTCCAGAAAATATATTTTGTGGTTGTTTCTGAAGACAAATGTGATTATTTTCACATCTATTAAAAAAGAAACAAACTTAAAAAAACTTCAACTATGTGACCACTAAAACAGATGAGGAAGCTCTTTGTTCTGACTCAGACATGAGCAAATGTGAACTATAGTGAGACAAAAAAAACCCACATACAATGCCTTTCTGTGCAATTTCTGTAGTAGTCAGTCAACATTCAAGGGTTCAAAACTGAAACAATATTGCATAGTGACAATGACACATGGTAAATTTAGGAAAAATAGCTAAAGTAGTAATGGTAATTCAAGGGGAAGACAAGGATAAGCCAAATAGGATTTCACCTGGGTACTTTTTTTTTTGGTACCAGGAATCAAACTCAGGACCTTGCCCTTGCCAGGCAGGTGCTTGTGCTGCTGAGCTATATCCCCAGCCCTCACCTGGGTACTCTTAACCATGTCTCAAGGCCCAGTTATAAAACTCTAGGGAGTGTTTTCAGGATATTTATATTGTTATTGTTAAGTTTCACCAAAAACTTTTTTGAAAATAAAATTTATTGGAAAGTATTTAAGCAATAAATTACCACGTGGAAAGACACTATAGATTTATGTATATTTGCCTACATTCTAACATGGAAAAAATGAGAAAAAAGTTTTAGTTTGGGCACAATAAACAAAGCAACACAGTTGCAAACATGAGGCCTCCAGATGTATAAAAGATAAGACTTTTATCCTTTATACTTCATGTATTTGACATGGACATCAGGAAGAGTGTAGATTATAAGAGGAAGAAAACTCAGACAAGTGAGCTGGTAAATCAGTAGATATCCTACTTGTAATATAAAATCATATACTATCCTTGAGAAGATATGACAAAGAAAACCAAGGAGATATGCAAAGGAATACTATTCCTATAGGTAAAGACTCAGGTATATTAAAGCAGAACTCTCAACCATGTGCCAAATATCTTAACAGAGTGAAAAAAGAAAGCTGGCCTGATAAGTTATTGAAGTTAGGGCTAGAGTTAAATTTTTCATATTGCTTACATAGAAAGGATTTCTCTCCTCTGTGTGTCCTTTCAGGTCCATGCATGTCACTTCACATATTCCAAATTCACTTTCTCTTAGTTTTTTAAAGTTTTTGATATTACCAGCATAAAAATGCTTTTTCATATTGCTTACATACATAACACTTTTATCCTTTATAATTCATGTATTTGACAATACCAGCGTATATTTAAAGTTTTTCCTTATTGCTTACATATATAGGGTTTATCTACAATGAGTTCTCGTTTTTAACAAACACTGTGTGTGCTGAAAACTATTCCACATTGTTTGCACAGACTGGGTTTCTCTGTAGTGTGTTCTTTTATAGCTTTCACAAGTGCAGTATTTGCTGAAAGTTTTCCCACATTATGTACATACATAGGATTTCTGCCCTGTGTGAGATTTTTCATGTATTCGACAATACCTCTGTGTTGTGAAACCTTTCCCACATTCCTTACATACATAGGGTTTCACCTTACTGTGAGTTCTTTCATGTTTTCGACAACTACTCTGTGTGCTGAAAGCTTTCCCACATTGACTACATGGGTACGGTTTCTCCCCAGTGTGAGTTCTTTCATGAACTTGCCGATTACTATGTGTGCTGAAGGCCCTCCCACATTGCTCACATACATAGGGTTTCTCCCCAGTGTGAATTCTTTCATGTATTCGACAATGACTGTGTGTGCCAAAAGCTTTCCCACAATGCTTACATTCATAGGGTTTCTCCCCAATGTGAATTCTTTCATGTATTTGACAATGACTTTGTCTGCTGAAACTTTTCCCACATTGCTTACATACATACGGTTTTTCCCCAGTGTGAGTTCTTTCATGTATTTGACAAGCACTATGTCTGCTGAATGCTTTTCCACATTGCTTACACACATAGGGTTTCTCCCCAGTGTGAGTTCGTTCATGTATTTGACAATTACCGTGTCTGCTGAATGCTTTCCCACATTGCTTACATACATAGGGTTTCTCCCCAGTGTGAGTACTTTCATGTCTTTGACAATCACTATGTGTCTTGAAAGCTTTCCCACATTGCTTGCATACATAGGGTTTCTCCTCTGTGTGAGTTCTTTCATGTCTTTGACAATCACTGTGTGTGCCAAAAGCTTTCCCACATTTCTTACATGTATAGGGTTTCTCCCCAATATGAATTCTTTCATGTATTTGACAATTATTCTGTCTGCTGAATGCTTTTCCACATTGCTTGCATATATAGGGCTTCTCCCCAGTGTGAATTCTTTCATGTATTTGACAATTACTGCGCGTGCTGAAAGCTCTCCCACAGTGCTTACACTCATAGGGTTTCACCCCAGTGTGAGTTCGTTCATGTCTTTGACAATCACTGTGTGTTCTGAAAGCTTTCCCACATTGCTTACATACAAAGGGTTTTTCCCCAATGTGAGTTTTTTGATGATTACCAAGTGAAGTGCTGTTAGTGAAGGATTTCCCACAGTGTTCACATACACAGAGTTTTTTGCCAGTGTGAGCTCTTTCATGTATCTGCATAAAATGGTGAGAAGTAAAAACTTTTCCACATTCTGTACATATATAGGTATTCATTTCACTGTGATTTCTTTCCCAGATTTGAACATAGTTGGGTGTACTGAGAGCATTCACACTGTGCTCATATACAAAGGGCTTCTCTTCTGTGTTAGCTCCTTCAGTGCAATCAGAGTACAAATTTCCACTTTGCTGATATTGATAGGGCTTCTCTCCAGGATTTGCATTTGCATGCTTTTGAAAGGACTGGAAGTCAGTGCAGGTTCTCCCATGTTTGTTATAGTCAGACAGCTTCTCTTCAAATTCCTGGTACTTATATGATTTGAATCCAGTGTTAGCTATAATGGGCACATTTGGTGATGAATGAGCCATCAGGGGCTTTCTAGAACCAAGGCTTTCACCTGGTTTTGTAGCAACTGGTCTCAGGTTCATATTAGTATCTGTTGTCCAGAAAACCATTTCTCCATGTTGATACCATAATTCATATTCGCAGCATTTTTCTACTTCTTCACTGCTGTAAAGTAAAGAAAACAACTAATCACACTTAAAGCTGTCTATATTAATGGTTACTGGGAGATCTGGTTTGATGCCCCCTAAGATTATTTGATCATGAGTTTACTGTACATTCTAAATGATGGCTTGGAAACACCTTTCCCCAGAACAGTAATACTTTTTGGCAGTTTATAATTGACATGTTTACAATACATAACACTTTCTCTTGAGGAATAATATGTATACTGTACTTTGACATATAGCCTTTCTTCCATGACTCTATCCTCTCCCCCTTCTACTGAGTCTCATCACCCACTCCAAAATGTCTGTCGCTCTCTTTTCGAACATATTTCCTTTATTTTACTCCTTAATTTATATTTTGAGTTTGTGATACTAAGTATAACACATGATATTGAAATTTCTGTGTCTGAATTACATAACAATATTATTGACTCAAGTCCACTTTTTGGCCACTGACATCATTTCATTCTTTACATATACAAATTTTTCAGGGTTGCAGATTTAACCTAGGCTTTTAGCATTGAGCTGCATATCTTGCCTTATTTATTTTGCAGTTTAAAATAGTCTCATTAATCATTAAGTTGCCCAAGCTGAGCATTTATGTATGATATTCTTGCCTCAGCTTCCCAGAGTGCTAGGATTGCACACATGCACCATCATTCCCAGGCTATCTCATATCTCCTTAATCAACTCATCTGTGAATGGGAATCTAGGCTGTTTCTGGAATTAAGCTTTTGTAAGTTGTATGGCTACAATCAAGGATGTGCATACGTTGTTGTGGTTACTTTAGTTTTGAGGGGAATATACCCAGTAAAAGCATAGCTGGATAAAATCGAACTCCTATTTTTATTTTTTGGGGCTATCTCTATATACATTTCTGTAGATGTTACACTACAACGACATTCCAGTGAACACTACAGAATGGTACCTTCTAATAATCTGTAACATGAATGGACTGAATCCTTCACAGGATTGCTTGAAAACATTTATATCAAAACAGTGGCATTCATTTGGATTTTTAATATGTTCATGAGGATAGCAATTTTCAAAATACAAAATGTGTATACAACATTTAAATACATATAGCATTTCTTACATAATTTTTTGACATGAATGTGGTCTTTTGTTTGTTTTTGTTTTTTTGAGACAGGGCTTCACTGTGTAGTCCAGGTTGCCCTTGAACTTAAAGTGATCCTCCTGCCTCAGACTCCCAATTGTTGGGATTATAGGTGTGCACCACAATGCATCTGAATGTGGTCTTTTGAAAATACATGTATATATAATTTGGCTCTCAATCTAAACACGAAATTTGTCTTATATACTCCTTATATACTCCTAAATGCAATTTCATACAAAATTGTTTATGATTTTAAGGATGGGAAATAATTTGTTTATTCTTTTACATTAGATAATGTCACTTGTGACATAATGTCAATACTGCCTACATTTCAGATATTGTATTTGAATTATTCAATTTTCAGATGGTAGGCACTCAACATATATGCATCTTTAGAGAAATACTGTGAGATTAAAGACATTGCAACACAGCTTCATTTGTATAATTTGCTTGGTTTTCATGGACTCTTAAGGAACATTCCTTCTTGCAGGTGCAAATTACCTTAGATTTATTCTCCAATTTTTATACTCATCTTCAATTTCCTCATCATCTGAAGTTCTTCCTAAAGTGTAGAAAAAGAAATGTAATGATGAGTTAGTACATTACATAAAAATTTAGAGATTCCGGTTAGGTTCATAGTATAATGTGACCTTACCTGAAAGAATCATCATGTTTCCATATTCCAATAAAGTAAATTGCACTGATAAGCAACAGCCAATGCTCTCTGATTGCATAAATTAGAAATGGATATTTTCCTTACCTAAAGCAGTCACATTCCTAAAGGTTTCACACATCACATCTTCGTAAAGCTTCTTTTGGGATGGATCCAGCAAAGCCCACTCCTCTGTAGTGAAATTCACAGCTACATCCTCAAAGGACACTACCTCCTAGATCACCAGACATATATACCCAGAAAGAAGAGTGAGATTCACAACATGAAATACTTCAACTCTACATATAAAAAACTGAAATAAGGCTGAGTTCATCAAATATTTACTTTATGTCTTGGTCATTAAACTGTTATTCAGCTTATTTAGTTATTCAGGTCATTAAACTGTTATTCTCTATTTGATGTTTAATTAAACATCATGTTTAAAAAAAACTAAGGTAGAAGAATATCTGATGAACTACTCTCACAGATCATAGAATGTATCTTTTTCTCAAGTAATTATTTATTTAATTGATCCCTTTCTTCTTTGATTATATTTAGACAGCATTTTGAAACTTGCGTATGGGAGAGAAATGGGGGATGGATATGACCAAACTATAAAGAATGTATAGTGAACACCATTATTTTGCAAACTAAACTTGCAGAAATAATAAGAGGAAAAACAGAAGAAAAATTTTGGCACTTCCAAATCACATATTGATGTGTCAAAGAAAGTTTTAATTATTCAGTATAGCAAATGTTCAATACTACTAAATAATAAGGTGACAGATACAGGAAAGAGATTTAAAATCCACTATTTAAGGCACTGTTCTATCAGTGAAACGCCAACTAGATCAAAGAAAAGGAAGAGTCTTCAATGGGATCACACGCAAATAGGGTATTGATTCATGTTTGAGCCCTTTTTGTACAAAAGAGCAGAAATCACCATTTGTTTAATACAGGTGGCAGGAACAAACAGGTACATACATGAAACATGCACTTTATTCTTCATAGTCCATGTGCAATAATTAAGTTACACCTTGAAATGGGAAAGTTAAACTTGAATACTTTGAAAATTCACAGTCAAATATCTTTTGGGTGTGAGAAACATTGTTTCCCCAGAAGAGAATCATGAAGCCATTAGAATTAGAGGGAGAAAGTAATCCCTATATCAATTATGAGAAGCAATACAAACAAGAACTAAAAAAAAAAAAAAAAAAAAAACTGCATTGTATACAATAAAAAAAAATTTGTGTACTGAGTAAAAATCAATGAGCACATAGGAAAACTGAAGAAAACATATATAATTCAAGAGAAAACAAATATAAACAAGATCCATGAACTTGGTTGAGAAAATAGCCAAAGAAAATGTAATTGTGGAAAGGCATAACTAGCATGTGGACTTATGAAGAAATGAAGGATTAAATGATACTGTCCATCACCACATCTTCCAGGGTGCACCAAAATCTAGACCAGTGGTTTAAATACAAAGCCCAGAAAATATATTGTACTATTGTTTCTGAAGACAAATGGATAACACATCTATACAAGGTAAGCTTGAAAAAGCTTCAACCATGTGACCACTATAATTGACAGGAAAGCACTTCTCCCCTCACTCAGACATGAGCACACATTAAATACCGCGAGACAAAGAAACCACCTATAATGTTTTTCTATAGACTCACATATTGAACATTTGCAGGGGGTGGGGGCAAAATGAAAATACACATAGTAAACTTAAAGAAAACAGCAAGATAAATATGACAACTGTTATTCATGGGGAAGGCAAGGATGATTCTAATGGGGTTTCACCTGGCTACTGTTAACCACCGCCCACATCCCACTTACAAAACTTTCTGACTGTTCCCAGGATATTTACATTGTTATTACCGCTAAAACTCACTAAAAGCATTTTTGAGAAAAAAATATGTTAAAAATATTTAAACACAAAATTACTGTGAGGAATGAGAATTAATTTTTGTAAGTTTGCCCACATTCTAACTTGGAAAAAAATGAGAAGTAATTTATAGATTGGGCACAGTAAACAAAACAGCACAGTTAGAAACAAGAGACCCCAGACATCAAAAAACAGTGCTTCCTATTAGGAACACAGGTTAGGAAGTAAGAGAAATAAAAGACAGTCATGAAAGCTGATTGAGTAGACATCTTATCTGTGAGGGAAAATCCTATGCTATCCTTGAGAGGAGTATCTTTTATATTTACACTTGTGAAGATATGACATAGAAAACCAAGAGGACATGCAAAGGAATATTATTCCTACAATGGAAGACTCAGGCAGATTACAGAAGGACTCTCAACCATGTAATATTTATTTTGACAGAGTGGAGAAAGGAGCCTCGTCGGAGAGGTTATTGAGGTTAACAGTGAACACACAGCAAGAACACATTTCTTCAGGCAGAAGTTTTGGTTGACAAACTGTCAGATCAAAGTTGTGAATGCCAAGGCTTCTGATCACATTATCTTAAACTGAGTAACAAGCAGAATCTTTGCTAAGGGTTAAATATTATCAATAAAAATCAAACAGTGAACACACATTTCCACTTTACAGTTCACCCAGAAAGATAGAAGGAATATTTTTTCTCAATAACGAAAAAGCAACCTAACTTGAAATCAGCAACCCTTGAGGACTAAATGGGACAACCAGGAGACTGACAGAAGTATAATTATTCTGAAGAAACTCGGGAACAGAACAACGACAGAAATATGTTATATCCTTATAACCAAGGGTAAGAGAATTTGAGAAGTAGAAACTCCTGCTGCCAGATCTTAGACATCATACAACTTCATTAATTTTACTTCTGCCAGCACTGGCTGGTTCTTAAAGTGATAATCAGAGAAAAATTGCTTCAGAATTCTGAGGGCAGGATGGGGAGAACAAAACCATTTAAAAATTCTGGTTTTTAAATAAGTTCTAAGTGGAGGAAAACAGAATTTCTCCAAAGTCTAAACCACTGTAATATTTGTATATCCATATTCTTGGCAGGAAATGAAGCACCCAATTTCAACCACTCAACTCTATCTCCCTCAACCTTGAAAAAGAAGGAGGATGTGATTTTAAGTTTTACCTCTTTAGACTTATCAAACAATTTCTTGTGAGGAACCACTACCACCACCAACAACAACAACACCCTCAAAGAATACAGAGAAAGGGAAAAGTATGGCTCAAAAATGAAAAAAAAAAAAAAAAAAAAAAAAAAAAAAAAAAAGAATAGAGAAAAGAGTATGTGAAAAAGGTCAGTAAATTTTCCATATAAAGAACGTCAGGCAACTGTCAAAAGTATGGAAAAATGGATAGAGGCAACCAAAATGCAAAGGACTATGAGAAAGGCTGTTTGTATAAGGTAACATCAGCCAAGATTTGGACATTATTGAAGACACCATACCGAAGTTATGGAAGTGTAGAAAATTCTTAAAATGTATCTACTGACATAGATTCTCTGTATATTTACCAAGAAATTATGTTTAAATGGATAACATCAACAGTCTACTTTGTTGTTACAGGTACTGCTATGTAAATGAGTCACACACATTGTACATGGGGTAGGAAATACTTGTGAATATGCTATGGTGCATGAATGTCTCTGAAACCATAGTGTTATCTCAGTTTGAGGTAGATAATTTGTGAATATATATTTCCAACAATGAAAAATCAGGTAAAAAATTAGTACACAAGCCTACTGTATATCATAATCAACAACAGAAAATGGAATTATGTAAAATTCCCAATTAAAAAAAACAGGGAGAATAAACTAGAAAGATTAAGTAATATAACCAGGACAATGTCCTTAATTTACCAGTTATTTACAGAAGAAAAGAGAATGTCAGTGTAGATATGAAAACAAGACCCAACTTAAGTTCTCTGTGAAAAAACACATTTTATATAGAAGTGATGGATTTGCTTTAAAAGTTTAAACTTTATTTGAGCATAGAAAATAAACTCAGTACATTTAATACACACCATCGTAAATGTAGTTCGGAACACTGTACTTTACTCTGAAATGTTAATATAGCATTCAATTTGAAGTGTTTTTAATATAAAAAATAAAGGTTTGTGAAGTAACCTGTCAGATCCATTTCCACATCTGACATGTGTAAATGCTGCAAAATACATGTAACTTAAATGGGTTAAATTATAAATTGTAATTATAAATGGATTAAATTATAAATTTAAATGGGTTGTTATAAATTATAATTATAAATGGATTAAATTATAAATGAATTCAACTTCTACTCATCTGCTAAAAAGTACACAAATATTTAAAAAATATGACAAAAGAATCTTAAAACATGGGCTAAATAAAAATTATACACAGCCCCCCGCGCCTTGCGCCCAGGCAGCGAGTTCTCCGGGAGCAGCAGGGCTCCTGGGTCCGAGTGTGGGCCAGACTCATACCACCATGATTCCCAGCCGAAAAGCACGCACAGAGCCAGGTAAGCCCCACCCAATCCCGGAGGCCAGGACGCTAGAACAAAGACCCCGTGGACATTGCAGACTGAGCTGCTAGGGGCAGAGAGGCCCAGGGGACGGGCGGGGCGAGCAGGCCCTCGGAGCCGGCCGAGCAGGCTCCCCCAGCCACCCGCGCCTTGCGCCCGGGCAGCGAGTTCTCCGGAAGCAGCAGGGTTCCTGGGTCCGAGAGTGCGCCGGACTCATACCACCGCGATTCCCAGCCGAAAAGCGTGCACAGAGCCAGGTAGGCCCCACCCAATACCGGAGGCCAGGACACCAGAACAAAGACCCCGCAGACATTGCAGACTGAGTTGCTAGGCGCAGGGAGGCCCAGGGGACAGGCGGGGCGAGCAGGCCCTCAGAGCCAGCCGAGCAGGCTCCCCCAGGCCCCCGCGCCTTGCGCCCAGGCAGTGAGTTCTCCGGGAGCGGCAGGGCTCCTGGGTCCGAGTGTGGGCCGGACGCATACCACCATGATTCCCAGCTGAAAAGCGCGCACAGAGCCAGGTAGGCCCCATCCAATCCCGGAGGCCAGGACGCGAGAACAAAGACCCCGCGGACATTGCAGACTGAGTCGCTGTGGCGGCAGAGAGGAGATCGGGACTGAACGGCC